CACCTGTAGTCCCAGCTACTTGGGAGGCTGAGGCAGGAGAATGGCGTGAACCCAGGAGGCAGAGCTTGCAGTGAGCTGAGATCCGGCCACTATACTCCAGCCTGGACGACAGAGCGAGACTCCGTCTCAAAAAAAAAAAAAAGATACAAAAGAATTAGTCGGGTGCAGTGGCGGGCGCCTGTAGTCCCAGCTACTGGGGAGGCTGAGGCAGGAGAATGGCATGAACCCGGGAGGTGGAGCTTGCAGCGAGCCGAGATTGCACCACTGCACTCCAGCCTGAGCAACAGAGTGAAACTCCATCTCAAAAAAAAAAAATTAAAGTTTACTTATAAAACACAGGACATGGAGAAAAATATGCTTTTATTTTTCTTTTCTATAGGAGAAGCTAAAACTTACTTATGAGGAAAAGTACGAAATTCAGGAATCCCAACTGAAGTTTTTGAGGTAAAGTGAAATCTTCCATTTATAGTCATACCAAAAGCATAATGATCTTAAAATATATTTGAATGTTTGCTGAACTTCTAGTTTTAGTCATTATCAAACTTACTTGCTGACATTTTATATATAATTTAAAAACTTTCCTCAGATTATTAAAGGATAAAATGGCCTAAAATTGGGTTATTTTTCAAATCACATTCCTATTTCTTCATCAGTTGTAAAATACTTGTGTTTTCTCATAAAAATAAGAATCGTGGCTGGGCGTGGTGGCTCACGCCTGTAATCCCAGCACTTTGGGATGCTGAGGCAGACGAATCATGAGTTCAAGAGATTGAGACCATCCTGGCTAACATGGTGAAACCTTGTCTCTACTAAAAATACAAAAATTATCTGGGCGTGGTGGCACACACCTGTAGTCCCAGCTACCTGGGAGGCTGAGGCAGGAGAATTGCTTAAACCCGGGATCACTTGAACCAGGAGGTTGCAGTGAGCTGAGACCGTGCCACTGCATTCCAGCCTGGTGACACAGTGAGACTGTATCAAAAAAAAAAAAAAAAAAGAATCACTAACTCACTAACTGCTCTTATAGAAATTATGATATTCAAGTAAAATAATAATGAAAAGGAAGCACTTTAGTTTTCAAATTATTAGTATTTTTCTCTGTAGATAGTCTTCATCTAATTTTAAAATTGTAATGATAATATAATAGTTTGAGTATTTGTATGCGTCATGAATTTGAGTGTATATGATGAATCTTCACATAGTTTTTATAGGATCTATTTATTAGAGATCCCGGTAAGACCTATATATTATAGATTAACCATTAGTGATTTACATATAATGAGTAGAAAAAGACAGCAGGAATTAATGTTTTTGTTGTTAACGATTATTTTTAAATAGTGGTAATAAAGTATTTTTAAATCAAATAAACTTTCAAATACTGTTTATCATTTTATTTTAATAAGTCCAATTTGAAATAAATTTTAAAATCTTCCAGGCCATATCTATCTAGAGACATAACTAGAGTAATACTAAGAGCCAGAACTCAGCTGGTTGCAGTGGCTCATGCATGTAATCCCAGCACTTTGGGAAGCCAAGGCGGATGGATCATTTGAGGTCAAGAGTTCGAGACCAGCCTGGCCGATATGGTGAAACCCTCTCTCTACTAAAAATATAAAAATTAGCTGGGTGTGGTGGCACACACCTGTAGTCGCAGCTACTCAGCAGGCTGAGGCAGGATCACATGAACCCAGGAGGTGGAGGTTGCAGTCAGCTAAGACCACGCCATTGCACTCCAGCCTGGGTAACAGAGGGATACTCCATCTAAAAAAAAAAAAAAAAAGCCAGAACTCATAGCTTTCATTGAACATGCTTGTTTATTTTTTAAGTATTCTTATGTTTTTCATAGATTACCCTGATTAGTTTTAGGATTTCTCTAGAGATTTCGACTTTTTGTTTTTACAAAGAAACATAACATTTAAAAATTACTCTAATTTTTGCTTTCTTGCTTTTTGTCCTACTTTATTTCATTTTGATTTTTTTTATGACTTGATTCTTCAGTTTTTAAAGTGATATGTTTCTAGATCATTGTACTTAGGGGAATGTGACTTATTTTGTCTCATTCAGAATCCAGATATTTCATCTTTAATTACATTAAAATACCGACTTGCAATGAACTAGACTTTGTTCTCTGAATCCTTCTGTTTCTTCATTTTCTTTTACTATAATTTAAGATTCTTTAAAGAGGCATTTTCTTAAATAAAATCAGTCTTCTTTTCAACTTTCTCTTTTGCCATTGCCAGTAACCAAATCTACTTGAGTGTTTTGAGTTTGGACCTGACCGAAATTAGTAATGGGGACCCTTTGACTTTGGAATGTGCTTCCCAAGTTCTTTTTATAAAGCCTTTGAAAGTCAGACATTCTCTACATGGTATTGAAAAAGAAAACTTACCACGTTGGTGTTATTATTTTGGGGATAGGGTAGAAGCGGCTCCTTTTTTCCCCTCAACTTTGGAACGCCATTAGATTAGCTTTTTTTTTTAACCCTTAGATTGCCTGTGGGTCTTTTCTGCCTCTCCTGGGTTGCTTGACAACCCCCGAAATCTCAACAATTGTCTGACAGCCAGGCTGTTGACTTCTTCTCTGTGACAAGGAGCCAGTTATGATGGCCATAGCCCCTGAGCATGGAGACTCTGACAATGACAGTAGGGAGTAGACAGAGATGGAGATAAAGTTCCTGCCTTCAGTAGTCTCATTTTTCAGCTCGAAAGTTTTTTTTTTTTTAATAAAAATAATAAAAACAACAACAACAATGGTACAAAAGAGCCACCTAGGCAAGGAAGCTCAGTCGCCAAGTTGACTTTAGCGCAACTTTACTAGGATAAGGTAGGAAAATACAACCCATGCACCAGTCATTTAATCCTTAAAAAGTCACCTTGAAAAAAACCTCATCCAGAGGTGAGCTGATAAAGTAAAAACAAACAAAAACTGCACCCACACCCACACTCACACCTCCCCCCCACCCCCAGCCCTTTCTTTAGCAGCCTGTGTTTCCCGCTAATAGCTACTACCCCTGAAATCTTATGACTGGCAAGTTCTATGTAACTTCCATCTGTAACTTACTTTCTTTTGAAACAGATCTTTGTAGAAGTTTGCTGTTAGATAATTATCTATCTAATATTTTCCTCCTGAAGAAAAATGGGCAGTAATAAACTCGTCAAGGGTAAAAATCCATGTTTTTTTATGTGAACTTTTAAGGTACTCTAAAAATTTTAAGAGGTTAATGCTTGAAAGAGGTTATTTTCGTCACCTCAAGTATGTTGTCTTATATTACCCCACCTCTTTTTTAAGAAAAACTATTTGGGATTTATATTTGGAGTTTTATTTTTGTTTTGTGGTTAATATAGCATTAATGGAGGTTGGATCCTGGAACAAGAGAGCCAGTATTGGGCAGACTCTAATCTAATATTAAAATCTTACAAGAACCTGAGCTAATTATTTAATATATTCAAGTCTCATCATATTCAATGTGTCAATTACGATCACCACACCAAAAGTTTCAGGGTCATGGTAAAAATTAATAAGGTATTGGATGTAAACTAAAGCATCAGGTGAACGCCCATAAATGATAGTAGTAGTTAACATTATGATGATTTATTTAAAGTCACGTAATTTTACCTGGCCATTTTCTAGAATTTTTTCCCCCTCTTTTTAGGAAAGACTTAGCTGAATATCAGAGAACTTGTGAAGATCTTAAAGAGCAACTAAAGCATAAAGAGTTTCTTCTGGCTGCTAATACTTCCAACCGGGTTGCTGGTCTTTGTTTGAAATGTGCTCAGCACGAAGCTGTTCTTTCCCAGACCCATAATAATGTTCACATGCAGACCATCGAAAGACTGATGAAGTAAGTATGCTTCTACACACAGCGTCTTTGGCAATATGGAAAATTCTGCCTTTAAAGGAGCATTGTGTTATTTTAGCCCTATGCTAAGTCACATGTGATTATTGTTAGTCTTCAAATACAATGGATTTTAAAAGGTTCCTTCATTGTAGCTTCCTTGAAGACAAATGGTTAGGTTCTGCCTTGTCACCATGTCGCTTTGAACAGAAACCCTGTCACTTTGAATAGATAATAGTATCTCTTGGTTTCAGTCCATCTTCAAGTGAGAGAATTGAACTAGACAGTCTTTACGATTCTGTCCAGTTCTGTGAATCTATAATTACAAATCTAATACTATTCTTAACAAAAGTGAGTGTAATAGAAATTCCTTTGGTTTTGCCATATCTTGAATTTTTCTGCTGTACTTCAGGTAGAATGAGTTATTACCACGTCTTTCTCGTGTGTCTGTTGTAAGGAATATTATGAGGACCCACTGTGTCCCACTATTGATATTTGAGGGTTAACTGAGAACAAGTTACAGATGACCTTTTGTGTTGTCGAAGTTTTCATCTAAGCTGAGTGAAACAATTCTCTGTGTACATCTGTTTTGTTCTGTTTTCACTATTCCAGAGGGAACCTTTTCCTGTGAAAATTGTATTCGGTGGAAATTGAGAATTATTATGTAATGTGGAACCCAGTGGCAGTTTATAGTGTATGTTCTTCTATGCCCCCTACTCTTCTATGTGCTCAATGTCACCTCTCTCTGTCTGCTCCACTCACTTAAATAACCCCAGATCACTTCTTTTTAGAAGAAGTCTCTCACCAGCCCTGCCCCATTTTGTCCTCAACTGACTTAGGTTCCTTTCTTCTGTGATTTTATAATATATCGTGTACACCTGGAGGCAGCAGTTGTGTTTTGTTTATTTCCATAGCCTTTGTTCCTAGCAGAGTGTCTGGCTGGCAGTAGGCACCCAGTAAATGTTCGCTGTTCATGTGACAAGGCATTTTGGCATTGACTACTCCACAGTCAGAGATCCTCCCGCCGGAACTGCTGTGGAGGGGTGGCATGACTGTGGTCATTAAGGTCAGACTGATTTTGCTCCATGTCCTGACCTTCAACAAATTACTTTTCTTCTCTGAGCCTGGAGTCTTCTGTTGTTTGGAGGAATAATACCTGCTTCTTGAGATTTAAGATCTTTTTGGGATTTTTACTAAGGCAGGTTAGCCTGTGACCAGAAGTACTGCTTTTGAAACTGACTGCTTGGGTTCATGTTCTGATTCTACTGCCAACTCACCATGGAACCTTGCAAAAGTTACTTAGCCTTTTTGTGCCTCAATTTTCTCATTTTTAAAATGGTGACGTAAGTACCTAACTCATAGAGTTACCTTGAGGGGTCACTAGAGAAAACCTATGTAGTGCTTAAAACACTTCCTGACATATAGTAAGTGCTCAATAAATATTAAAACCATTCTGTACCTTCCATACTCCCAAGAATGATCAATATGTCTTGTAGCTGTGGTTTCCACACATGGCTAACCCCCTGGGGTCGGGGGCAGGTTGCTGTTGATTTTGAGTTGGGGTCTCACTCTGTTGCCATGGCTGGAATATAATGGCATGATCGTAGCTCACTGCAACTTTGAACTTCTGTGCTCAAGTGATCCTCCTGCCTTGGCCTCCTGGGTAACTGCAGACATGTGCTGCCACACCCAGCTAATTAAATTTTTTTTTTTTGGTAGAGATGGAGTCTCACTATGTTGCCCAGGCTGTTCTTGAACTCCTGGCTTCAAGTGATCCTCCCACCTCAATTTCCCAAAGTATTGGGATTATAGGCATAAGCCACCACACCTGACCTAACCTACTGATTGTTATATGAACAGAATTTCCAGTGTGGACTGACTGGTAGCTTTTTTGTTTGTTTGTTTGTTCGTTTGGTTTTTGTTTTTTTTGAGACAGAGTCTCTCTCTGTTGCCAGGCTGGAGTACAGTGGTGCAGTCTTGACTGTCTGCAACCTCTGTTTCTTGGGTTCAAGTGATTTTCCTGCCTCAGCCTCCCAAGTAGCTGAGACTATAGGCACCCACCACCATGCCTGGCTGATTTTTGTATTTTTAGTAAAGACAGGGTTTCACCATGTTGGCCAGGATGGTCTCGATCTCTTGACCTCGTGATTCGTCTGCCTCGGCCTCCCAAAGTGCTGGAATTACAGGTGTGAGCCACCACGCCTGACCCGAACAGTAGTTTTTATGATCTATACTGCTTGGTTCTGTTTTTGTTAAGTATTTTAAGTATTAAATATGTTGTTAATTTATTCATATATGCTCAATATAACTATTAAATATGTATTAACTATTTTCAGATACAACTAACAAATGTAGTAAACATTTATTGTATGTCAAGGACTATGCTAGGCAATTTAAGAACATAATTTTTAAAAATCTTAAAGCATTCATGAGGTAGATATTATTACCCTCGTTTTAAAGGTAGGGAAATTGGGGTTCAGAGAAGTTAAAAATTTGCCTGTTTATATTTGAAAAACAAGAACAGAACTGTACCTTACAAAAATAAATTCATGGTGCTTTTGAAGGTTCAGATATAATTCAGACTATAAAAGCATTAGAAATAAATATAAAAAATATCTTATAGTTGTGGGTTATAGTACTAAGGATGACATGAAAAGTGGAAGTCATAAGGGAAAAAAGATACATTTGTTTCTATTAAAAAATAAATTCCCTTCCAATAAAACATTACATATTCAGTTAAAAGGCTGAGAAAAATATATTTGAACTATACATGACAAAAGACCGATAGAATAAATTTCCTCTGAAACAAACAAAAAGGACAAGCTGCCTAGTTGCAAAGTAGGTAAAGAATAGAAATCAGTGAGCAACAAAAGAGGAAGGTGTCAGCATATCAGAATGTATTTATTCTGTTAGTATTTGAGGAAATACAATCAAAAAATAAAAAACCAATCCATCAGACTGACAAAATAGAACAAGATTGATAATTTCAAGAGTTGGTGAGGTCATGAGTAAGCAAGTATTTTGATATTCTGCTGGTGGGTTCATAAATTGGTGGAAATACTTTGGAAGTAAATTAGTACTGTCCATTAACATTCAAATTGTGCATTTCACTTTTCAAAATCTACCCTCAAGAAAAAAAACTCATGTACATGCATAATGGGGTATGTATAGGGAATGCTTTTTGCAGCATTGTTTGTAATTATATGAACAACTTAAATATCGTTCAAAGGAGAGTAACTAAACATGGTTTAGATAAACTATGACATTTTGTGCATAGTATGAAAAACGGAAGTAGTTCTATGTATATTAATGTTGTACCATCTCCAAAATACATTGTTGCAGGAAAACAAAACAAAATGGCTAAAGATACATCCAGTATGAAACCTTTTGTATTTTTTAAGTCCATATACAACTATACTACATTTTTCCCCTTCAAGGTTCATAGATATGCACAGAAAAATATTTGAAAGAGTAAGCACCAAATATTTAATAGAGATTACCACTAGAGAGGTGGACAAAGGCAATTAAGTTGAAAGGGTGTCAAATAGGCCTTTAAAAATATTGGTAACTAATTTTGCAAGGAGAATATAGTTTAAAAATTAATTTTAGAAAGAAGAAAGCATATTAAAAGTTGCACATAAAAAGAGCCAGAGCTTAAAACTAGGTAGTCTAGCAAAACTAATAAGCCAGGCACAGTGGTTTATGCCTGTAATCCCAGCACTTTGGTAGCCTGATGCAGGAGGATCGTCAGGCCAGGAATTGGAGACCAGTCTGGGCAACATAGTGAGACCCTGTCTCTACAAAAAATTTAGAAATTAAAAAAGAAAAAACCTTAACCAACAAATAACAGGTTATTATGTTGCCTTTTATATTATCCTTCTAGATTCTGAAAAAATATTTTTAAAGGAAGCTGTAATGTTTCGGTTACTTCTAAGCCTCGCAGTCATTGAGAAATTAAGATTCTTGATCAGTTATGTATTCCTTTGTCTCTATCCTAAATTTAAGCTCGTAGCCTCTTGAAGTAAATGTCAATCTACTTAGTTCAATTTTCTGCCTTGTCAGCAGAATATCATTGTCTCATGTTCTGCATTAATATCAGAAAGGATATTAAACCTATTAACACTGAATGGTTTCTGCTTTTATTGTCAATGAATTCTTTTTCTGTATTGTTCTCTTGGCCTAAGCTGGTGTTCAGTTTCTTTAAACTTACTAATGCAGAGTGCTGAATATTGAGTCCTATGCTAACTTTGAAGAGTGTCCAGCACCTTTTGGGTTTGGATTTCTAGTTTTATGTATAGTTAGAAGCCTGACCCCGCCATAAGCTGTTATCGTATTACCTGGATGACTTTAACATAGAATGTTTAAAAATGATACCTTAAATATGATAAATCAAAAGTTTCCTTGTAAATGTGGTATTGTGACAGCAGCTTTCAGCTCCTTTGTTGCATCCTTTAGCATTTACTATTTTGAATATATATTCTTGACACAAGAATGGTTTGATGGCCAGGCATGGTGGCTCACACCTGTAATCCCAGCACTTTGGGAGGCTGAGGCAGGTGGATCACTTGAGGTCAGGAGTTCGAGACCAGCCTGGCCAACATGGTGAAACCCCATCTCTACTAAAAATGCAAAAATAACTGGACATGGTGGTGCACACCTGTAATCCCAGTTACCTGGGAGGCTAAGGCAGGAGAATTACTTGAACCTGGGAGGCGGAGGTTGCAGTGAGCCAAGATTGTGCCATTGCACTCCAGCCTGGGCAACAGAGGAAGACCCTGTCTCCAAAAAAAAAAAAAAAAAAAAAAAAGAATGGCTTGTACAGTTGACAGGGAGGAGATCAGGCATGACTTGGAGACCAGGCCACCCATATGTTTCTGGTGGTTTCTGGTTTCTTAGGACTCAAGGACTTTTTGGAGAATATACTTAACAACTGTTGATGACATTGGATATATTTTTTACGTTGACTTGAAGTCTTCATATTGTTTCTGACCTTTCGCCTTTCACTT